CTTGGAAGCCAGGTTCACAAGGCTTCTTGGCAACCTACGTTGATGACTTTCTAGTTGGAGCTCCACAAGAACAAGCCAATGCGATGTTGGAAGCTGTACAAAGGAGATGGACATGCAGCCCACCGGAGATGGTCACTGAAGACCACCAAATGAAGTTTTGTGGATACGAGATTGCCAAGGTCAAGGACGGGTTCTTTCTACATCAATGTGGATACCTCAAGGACGTCCTGAAACGACATGGCATGGAGGCTGGCATGGCACCAGTCCAGAACTTGTTTGCCAACTTGGGCGAAGACGACACTGAGGAGGTGCAAACAGGAGATCTTCGTCAAGCTCAACAAGTCATAGGGGAACTGCAGTGGTTGGTTACCCGAACGCGACCTGACATGGTGTATCATGTTGGTGTCATGGCACGTCTTGCGCACCGACGAGCAAGACATGTGGTCAAGCTTGGAGATGAGTTACTGAGGTATTTGAGTGCGACAAGTTCAAAGGGTTTGCACTACATGAAGACCTCAGCACAAAAACCGTATGGTCGCAATGATGAGCTGGCCACGCAGGTGTCGATCAACAACTTGGAGGTGTTTGTGGATGCTTCGCACGCCCTGGAGCATGAGAACTACAAGTCGGTGACTGGGGTGATACTATGTGTTGGGGGTTCTCCCATCGCATGGGCAAGTGGCAGACAGCCGTTTGTTACCACTTCAACAGCCGAAAGCGAACTGGTGAGCTGTGGAGAAGGTTTCCAGTGTGGAGAAAGCCTTGCAGCACTCCTGGAGGTGATGGGCGTTGGGGACATCAACAAGACCCTCAACTGCGATTCCAAAAGTGCACTTCACTTGTGCACCAATGACACAGGTAGTTGGAGAACAAGACATCTGAGGATCAGGTATGCTCGACTTCGAGAAGCATTTCAAGATGAGCTCTCGCGATGGTGTGCGAAGCATGTCAGTGGTTTGGTGCTTCCAGCTGATGGAGCGACGAAACCGCTTCAAGGACCAAAGATGGACAACTTTGTGGACTCCATCTACCTGGACGATCTCAATGATCTACGACGTGCAGAAGATGAGCTGAGAGCGGAAGAAGAGATAGTAGTGAGGCTTCTCTCAACTGGCCAGACGCTGATGGAGACAGATGACTCTCAGTGTCAAGAAACTGGTCTGGGCCTCATCGTTGCCGCATGTTGGATGATGAAAAAGAGGGAAAGGGAAAATGAACCTTCCCCACCATGGTCAGTTAGGGAAAATGAACCAACTGACATGGAAGAAGCCAACGTCAGGGCACCAAATGAACCGGCGTTGAGACATGAGGGTAGGGAAGATGAACCACCCCGTAGGTTGATGAAAACCATGGTGAGGGCCCCAAATGAACCCACCATGCAAGAAGAGGGCAGGGAAAATGAACCGCCCAACAAGAGCCAAAAGGAGGCCATGCAACCTTTCCCAAAAGGGATGATCGATGTGGAGGGGAAAAGAAACTTTAGGGTTTCGAACATGGAGCGTAGTCTTAGTGCTGAGTACTATCCTCAAAGGGATCAAGTTTCCTCCCCACAAAGATCATCTCAAAACCCTGACAACTGCCCTTCGGGCTGCCACGGGCCGCAACTTCGGGCGCTCAAAGTCAGCCATGGGAAGAGAGGTCAACGGCGAGGTCTTTCGAAGAGGCGCCAAGGGGATGGGCATGGTTTCAACTGCAACTTGGTTGGTCGTGCTGAGCAATGGCATGGACTTGAAGGAGATCCGATTGAGGACTTCTCCGTTGAGGACCTTGGGCTCGAGCCGCCAACTGAGGTTTTGGGTGCCGGGCGACACGCCATGGAGAGCACGGCGAGGTCGTCAGGGAGTTCGGCAACAGGAACTTCTTCACTGCCGGCTTGGAGGGCAACCAAGGGAAAAGGCCACAGTGGCCAGGATGATGGCCAGCATGGCTATGGAAAAGGCCAAGGAGGCCACAACAAGGGCCAACAAGGCCAGATGGATGGTCAGCCTGACCAAAAAGGAAAGGGCACTGGTAAGGTGTCTGAACGTGGTAGGGTGGCAATGTTGAGCCCTACAACCTCAGCCATTTGGGCTGGAACAGAACCCCAACCGCTTGGACCAGTCCAACAACGTGGACAAGCAGCGATGGGAACAAGAATGATGAGGGGTAGTCGCTTTGGGTTTGAGCACGTGCCGATCCGCAACTATGATCCACGTCTTCGAGACCCTGAACTACAAGAGCGACCTCCAAGACCACTTGCACAACAGGTGGATGACACGCAGTCTGATGGGAGCTATGAGTTGGTCTCCGAAGTTGCAGATGAGGAGCAACGCCCACAGACTGCAAGGCATGTGCAGTTGGAGGGCAAGCACGGTGCAATGGCTATGCCCCCACCAGGTGGAGATGGAGATGATCCTGGCCGAGATCGTCGAAATCGACGAGAACCAGAACGAGACCATGGGCCGGACCCTCCAGCGGATGATGAAGATGAAGATGAAGAAGAACGTCCACGCAGGACATGCACAACCCTGGACGTCAAGAGGCAAAGAATGGCTTGGGCGCGACCCCCTGGATACTGGTTTCGGGGACGTGGCAGAGGCTTCAAGCAGGATGTGGAGACTGGCAAGGATGGGTCGACGATCATCCATGGGGTGCTCAGTCCAAACATGTCCTGGCAAAGGATATACGCCAAGGGCTGTCGACCCCGCCAGCTCTTCACCCATGACCAAGGAGGAAAGGGCTCAGCGCAGGCAGCTCCAGTGCTGATGGGGCGAGGAGACACGCCGGCTGAACAGAGGAGAAGCATCCTCCTGGCGACAGCCAATGCAAGGGCGGTCCAGGCGTTGCGAACAGCCGACCAGGTGAATGTCACCAGTGAGGACTCCAATGAGGTGGCTCTGGCGGTGGAGGCAGCTACGGCTGCGGTGGACTACGCCGCGGACGTCCAGGAGATGACGGAAAGTGGCACCACCCCAGGCCAAGCTGGAAAGAGCAGCGGAAGAAGTCGCATCTCTGTTGCACAACTTGGAAATGGCAAACCAGCCACTACTGGCGAGCTGCAGGCTCACTACGCAGCAAAGGGCAAAGCGAAAGGCAGTGAAGCCTTGGAGCCTTTTGCAGATGGTTTGCATGAAGATGGTGGCGAGACTGCAGAGGAGGAGGTCTCTGAGAATGACATGGAGGTCATCCCGGAAGAGGACGAGGGCAATGGTGATGATGACGGGACTGATGAGCCCGCGGATGGAGCATCGACCCTTCCAATGCCTTCTACAATGGACCCACCAGTAGCCACCACAGCAACCGAGGTGGCAACCACTTCGACCACTGCGGGTGACCCAGTGAATGTTGAGGAAGAGGTCAACGCAGAGCCAGAGAATGTTGAAGAAGAGGTCAATGTGGAGCAGGACACAGAGGTTGGAAATGCGCGCCCTTCAAGGGTGGTGCGCAACGACCCGGAGCATGAAATGGCGCCGAGGGTCACAGGAAGTTTGGGGCAGCAGATGCGGGCAAAGGCAAGTTTTGGCTTGGCACCAGCACCGCCAGCGCAGCATGTGCAGCAGGTGATGACAGCGCTGATGCAGGGCCAAACAATCCCTTTGACGTATGGACGTTGGGTCCAATGGGATCAGACCAGTTGGGTTGGATCCATGCAGACCTACAGATATGGTGTGCTCAATGGCTTGCAGGTGGAGATGGACTTCGCGCAGGTGGGCTTGATGCTTCGCCGGCCAGTGGTTCCTGGGGTAACGCATTCGCTTGCGCTCCAAGGAAGTGTCATGGCTGTGCCGAAGACTGGCTTGACAAGAGAAGACACAGAAGAGGAGGAGGCTGACCCGGGAGTTCCTTTTGAGCATGGAATGGTTCAGCCTGGCAAAAAGCCTCCCCCTGCAGCTTGGTTTCAACGACAGAACATGCAGGAGTGGATGAACCGCATGGCCAAACCACCAGCAGTTCCAACACAACATGCAATGCCAGGTCCACCACCAGCGGGCCCACCACCTCATGTGAGGGTTGGACCACCGCCAACAGGTCCACCTCCGGCCAAGGCGATGGCGATGGCAGCTCCGAACTATGTGCCTGGACCTCCACAAGGGCAACCACCAATGGCTGCGCCGATGCAGCAAAGACCACAAGGTCCGGCAGGATATGGTGGTGATCAAGGTGGCAGTCTGCAGCCACCGCAACAGCAGATGATGGGAAACCCTGGTCAGAGGGCGACGTTGTCCCATATGTTGCGTATGACTGGTGAACTTCGAGCAGAACGAGGAGTTCAACCAGCCAAAGCTGCAGCAGACTTGGGTCTGCGACCGGTGTTGCGTCCGCCAATGACAACATCGAAAGCTGCAGCGAGCTCCACAAACGTTTATGTGGAGCACCGTGAAGAGGCTGCCGATAGGGTTACGGTGAGATCCGATTCACCGGCCCTGTCAGTGACTTCGAGCTCTACGGCATGATCCAGGTGGAGCGCAATTTTGAAAAGATGCTCTTTTGAGAGCCGGGCATTTTTCCTTTGGCAGAGTCTTTACTGCCACGATGTCAGCCAAGGCGTGAGTCTTTACATACCAAGGTTGATGGAAGGTGCAAGTCTTTATGCACCGTAGTGATTTTAAGACCAGTGGGGCCTAACAACAACTTGGCATCACTGGCAAATCCAACTTTAAGAGCCTTGAGCCCTTAGCCGATCCTGAAAGAGCCTCCCGGTGAAGCCCCCTTTTATGCACGACAAAGTCGTGGGGGGAGTGCAAAAGGGTTCATGTGCATGCATGTACAACTGGACAGATGTAGTATCAGTTCTTATCACTGCTGGACAGGTGAAGTATCTGTTCTTATCAGTGCAACAACTGCCTGTGATTGCGCAGGCTCTTTATGGATCAAAAGTCGCGCTGCTCTGCCTAACACAATATGTATTTATAGTATTTATATTTATTTACGTATGTGTGTATGTGTCAAGTGCTTCCTTACCATGTAGATCGACGCATGCATCGCTGCATATACTTTTTGCGGACGGCAAATCCGGAGTCCTGCTGCGAAGAGAAAGCCTTGGAAGGACCAATCCTTGAACGCCTGGCGGTGACAATATGGAATACGGCATCTTTAAGCCACGTGGTGTAATCTCTCCCTATCAGTGCACATCTCATAACAGTCATAACATATCTCTAAGATATCCCATATTATCCATTATTATCCCATATATCCCTGGAATTCCCTGGATCATCCTGGATCAAGATGACTTCACACCGGTCCTCCACCGGACTCCACCGGACTCCACCACAGTCGGTCCTCCTCGACGCGACCTTCGGCCTTCAGCATGCCCATGCAACCGATGACCTCAAGTGAAACCGAAGGAAACCGAAGGAAACTGCCTTTAAAAAAAAAAAAAAAAACTCCATGACTCCAGGTTCAAAATTTCAAAACCTACCCGGGCTCATCTGGGCTCCCAAAGGCTACCAATCTACAGATATCTACGGCATCTGCGTCTCAGTCTGCTGATGCGTTTCCGGTGTCATCTCAGGCTCCCGCTTTGGCCGCTTCAGCAGCGAGTACCAGTGATGTGGCAGGCGTCCCTGGTGTCACAAAACCTGCATGATCAGTGGTCTCAGCTGTGATGACACAAGGTGACACAAGGTGACACAAGGTGACACAACACCATGTTGCGACATGACTGATTGCTTGATAGCTTGGCTGACATATCTGGCATATCTGACACATTAAGAATGATCAATGACAGAGGTCACACACGCCATGCGGCTATGCATGCTATGCGAGATGGAAAAGCTTCAAAAGCTTCAAAAGCTCCAAGGATCTCCAAGGTGCCAACGTCTGGAGAGCAGCGGCTGAGCTCCAAATTGTCCAGCATGGATGGCCTTCGCAGAGCGCCAACTGCCCTCCCTGTGATATCTGTGAGCCAAGATGAGCCAAGATGAGCCAAGACACCAAGTATCCCAAGCCATGATGGGCAGATAACAACGCCCCTATCGCTGCCATGGCTCTCGGCACTACTGGTGTTCTGATGTGTTCTGATGTGTTCTGTCGACGCAGCTTGAGTGGCTGTGACGCTGGCAGTGTCGTTGTTTGTCACTTTTCGGCTCAGTTGACCATGCGAGGCAAAGGTGGTGGATATCTGCGTGTGTGGGCTGGGTGCGTCGGCCAAGTGGCTGCAGTGTTTTCTGGACATCTTTGACTTTTCTAAATCTTCTCTCTCTCTCAGTCTCTCTCTCAGTCTCTCTCTCTCTCTCTCTCTCTCTTCAGCCCCAGTAGCAAAGTCTCTATGCCTTTAGATGTGATTGCCGTCAATATGCTCAATGCTCAAATGTATTCAAACATATGCATACATATGTATATAATGGATAGAGATATCCTATAAAACATGTTTGACATATCCTGTATGTGTGTGCGTTCATGTGTGTCTTCTTGAGCCACGCAAGGAAACCCTGCCAAGGCTTCTCCAGGGACAGTGACCCACGAGGTCACACACTCCTCACCCGTCACGTCAAGGAGAGAAAAATGGAAATGATGAAGAAATGATGAAGAAACGATCAAATGGAAATGGAAAATCTTGAAATGAAGTGTCAGGACGTTGTAGAGCTTATTCACCAAGCCCTTTTCATGTCCTTAGAGCCATACATGTTCTTTGAGGACAAAGCACCAAGCCAAACATATCCTGCGTTGTTTGGGTTCAAACATGTTCTCAAAAGTGAGAAGAGTGGAGGCAAGTCAGGCAAGTCAGGCAAGTCAGGCAAGTCAACAAGTATCTCAACTGAGACACATTGTGACATGATATGATGACAGGTTGTGCGCAGGGCCTCCGTCCCCGGTCCCCGTGCTTTTCTGCTGGGTTCGGCCGGAGGTCCGATTTTCTACCAAATGGCAGAGAACAAAAACACTTCAAAGAAACCGTTGGTGTTCGGTGCTTTTCTGTCACGGCAAAAACTTGATGCCAGCAGCAAGGTTTCCAAGCTGCGCACTTTAAATACAAATGATCTGTGCCGACGCTCCAACTGCACAACATTTGCGATGCGCAAAGATGAGCAACGTCGTGCCAAGTACGTACAAAGTTTGCACGAAGCTTCAAATATTTCAAAGGTTTCACAATGCTGCTCAGAATGCTCGGAGTACCGAGCATAGCCATGGTCAAATATGACCGAGACTCCGAGACACAAGCAGCAAGAATTAGTCAAATTAGTCAGAGACACGTCAGAGAACAGGGCATCATCTCTAACATGACTGATGTTAATAGGTCTTGTGAACAGAGAACATTAGTCAAATTAGTCATCGTCTAATGTCAAATTAGTGACATCATCACAATGACGGAACATTTGTCAAATTATCTACGTAGAATCTACGTAGAATCTTCACAATTTGTGATAAGTCTGATCAGTCTGATCAGTTGTGACGATGTTTACATTACAAGACCTGTGCGGCGCCGTGGCTGGCAGGGCCTCTTAGAGGCCGGCCGACTTGTTGTCTTCACGACATCCACGACATCCACGCCATCCATGACAGCCACAGAGCTTCCGGACGGTCCGGAAAAGGGTGGAGTGGAACAGTGGAACCATGTGGAACCGACAAAATAAAGCGACTTTGTACCAACAAAATACAGACTTCATGCTACCGATTTCATCAAAATTCAAAAACCATCCGTGCATTCTGAAGTCTCTGACTGTGGGTTCATAACGCAAAGGTTTCAAATGCGTTTCTGATTTTCACAGCTCAACACACCACCCATCTGCATCGTTCTGCATCATTCTGCATTCAGGTCGTGTGGGTCTTGTTTTCCTAGGCTCCCCAAACCTCGGAATGCAAGATTTGACCAACAAAACTCCAACGTGCTGTCGAACGAACTAATTATGACCTAAGGACAAAATGAATCGAAATGAAACGAAATGAAACGGGAAGAAATCCAGGCTTCTCGGCTTCGCAATGCAGTGACGTGCCGCAGAATTGGCAGAAGCGAAACCCAGCTTGTGCCTACATGACATTACATGACCCATCAGAGTTTTACCGCAAATTGTGCCTTTGTTTGCATCACGTTTTGGACATGGATCTTCAAAGATCAGATCTCCGTTCCGATACGTTTTGATAGGTTTGGAATGGTTTGGATACATTCGATCCTCGGCATGGCCGCACCATCCGCACCATCCGCACCTTGCCACCACAATTTTGACAGAAACGCACCTGGGATCTTTCCGGCCTGGCACATGCGACGCTGACAGAGCTGACAGTGACAAACAGTGACAATCACAACAACTCACAACAACTGGCAACAGTTTCATGACATCAATCAGAAATAATCAGAATGATGACATGAATCAGAATGACATGAAAATAACCTCTTGGCACAAGTTGGCACATGTTGCGAAGCGGGCCTTGACATTAAGCTCTGTTCATCGGTGTTTCCTGGCTACGTGATCTACATGGTAAAGTCGACCAAAATGGACTATGTTGGAATGGAAACAGAGCTCAATTGCCGTATGCCCCAGGCCTGTCAACCCGAAGTAGCTGGTCCTCAGCCAAGTTTACTTTCTAGGCACGCCTGCCTATTTTTTGACACCTGCAATTATTGTAATTATAATTAATGCATAATTGTTTGATTGTTGCGTAGTTATCGTTGTATGTTCGGGTTTCCGTGATTTCCGTGATTTCCTTTCCTTCACAACCAGTCACCAGTCACTAACCCATGGCTCTGCGCACCAAAACGCATCTCAAACACATGATATACAGTGATATGTTTCAGAATGATTTACAGTGAGATATACATATATATATAGGCTATATTACATATATTACATATATCATGGTACATTATATATGTAACATCGTGGAAGCTCAGGCTCCAGCGTTTCGTGTGGTCGTCCCTGGCGCGCTGGTAATATATTCATCAATATTCATCCGTTATTATACATGGTAATATTAACATGCTAATATTAATAAGCACATTAATATCAATATATCTGTTATAATAGATGTTGTATGTATATATATATATGTGTGTGTGTGTTAATCTGGTAATATCTGGTACATGAATACCATAATATTAGCTATTATGTTATATTATATATATATATATGTTAGTGAACTTCACTTCCCATTCCATCTCAATACATCAAATACACCAAATCTGCTCGTCGCACCGCACCACCGCGGCGCCTCACCCTTCTGTCGAATCGCCATGTCAATCAGGCTGCCCTTGCAGCTCCAGCTACAGCACAGCTATGTATAATACATGCATATGTATATTTTTCCTCCGGCCCAATGAAGCTCCCGGATGCGGCCTGCAAAACGAATTCTTAATGTATATATATGTGTGTGTGTGTATGCATGCATGTATGCATGTTTGCATGTATGCATGTATGCATGTATGCATGTTTGCATGTATGCATGTATGCATGTCTGCATGTCTGCATGTATGCATGTATGCATGTATGCATGTATGCATGTATGCATGTATGCATGTATGCATGTCTGCATGTCTGCATGTCTGCATGTATGCATGTATGCATGTATGCATGTATGCATGTTTAACATGTTTGCATGTATGCATGTATGCATGTCTGCATGTCTGCATGTATGCATGTATGCATGTATGCATGTATGCATGTATGCATGTATGCATGTCTGCATGTCTGCATGTCTGCATGTCTGCATGTCTGCATGTATGCATGTATGCATGTATGCATGTATGCATGTATGCATGTATGCATGTATGCATGTATGCATGTATGTATGCATGCATGCATGCATGCATGTATGTATGTATGTATGCATGCATGCATGCATGTATGCATGTATGCATGTATGCATGTATGTATGCGTGTATGCATGTATGCATGCATGCATGCATGTATGTATGCATGCATGCATGTATGCATGTATGCATGTATGCATGTATGCATGTATGTATGCATGTATGCATGCATGTATGTATGTATGCATGTATGCATGCATGTATGCATGTATGCATGTATGCATGCATGCATGCATGTATGCATGCATGTATGCATATATGCATGTATGTATGCATGCATGTATGCATGTATGCATGTATGCATGTCTGCATGTCTGCATGTCTGCATGTATGCATGTATGCAGGTATGTATGTATGTATGTATGTATGTATGTATGTATGTATGTATGCATGCATGTGTATGCGTGTATGCATGTATGCATGTATGCATGTCTGCATGTCTGCATGTATACAGGTATGTATGTATCCATGTATGCATGCATGCATGTATGCGTGTATGCATGTCTGCATGCACGCATGTATGCATGTATGCATGTTTGCATGTATGCATGTATGCATGTCTGCATGTCTGCATGTCTGCATGTATGCATGTATGCATGTATGCATGTATGCATGTATGCATGTATGCATGTATGCATGTATGCATGTATGCATGCATGTATGTATGTATGTATGCATGTATGCATGCATGCATGTATGTATGCATATATGCATGTATGCATGTATGCATGTATGCATGTATGCATGTATGCATGTATGCATGCATGTATGCATGTATGCAAGCATGCATGTATGTATGCATGTATGCATGCATGTATGTATGCATGCATTTATGCATGCATGTATGCATGTATGCATGCATGCATGCATACATGTATGCATACATGTATGTATGTATGCATGTGTGCATGCATGTATGTATGTATGTATGCATGCATGTATGCATGCATGTATGCATGTATGCATGTATGTATGTATGCATGCATGCATGTATGCATGCATGGATGTATGTATGCATGTATGCATGCATGCATGTATGCATGCATGTATGTATGTATGCATGTATGCATGCATGTATGTATGTATGCATGTATGCATGTATGCATGCATGCATGTATGCATGCATGCATGTATGTATGTATGTATGCATGTATGCATGTATGCATGCATGGATGTATGCATGCGTGCATGTATGTATGTATGCATGTATGCATGCATGGATGTATGCATGCATGCATGTATGCATGTATGCATGTATGTATGTATGCATGCATGTATGCATGTATGCATGCATGCATGCATGAATGTATGTATGCATGCATGTATGTATGTATGTATGCATGTATGCATGTATGCATGTATGCATGCATGGATGTATGTATGCATGTATGCATGCATGCATGTATGCATGCATGTATGTATGCATGTATGCATGCATGTAAGTATGTATGCATGTTTGCATGCACGCATGCATGCATGTATGCATGTATGCATGCATGTATGTATGTATGTATGTCTGCATGTATGCATGTATGCATGCATGGATGTATGTATGCATACATGCATGCATGTATGCATGTATGCATGTATGCATGCATGTATGCATGCATGCATGTATGCATGTATGCATGCATGCATGTATGCATGTATGCATGCATGCATGTATGTATGTATGCATGTATGCATGCATGGATGTATGTATGCATGCATGCATGCATGTATGCATGAATGCATGCATGGATGTATGTATGCATGCATGCATGTATGCATGCATGCATGTATGCATGTATGCATGGATGTATGTATGTATGTTTGTATGTATGCATGTATGCATGCATGTATGTATGCATGTATGCATGTATGCATGTATGCATGCATGTAAGTATGTATGTATGCATGTATGCATGCATGGATGTATGCATGCATGCATGCATGCATGCATGTATGCATGCATGTATGTATGTATGCATGTATGCATGTATGCATGTATGCATGCATGCATGCATGGATGTATGTATGCATGCATGGATGTATGTATGCATGCATGCATGTATGTATGCATGCATGGATGTATGTATGCATGCATGCATGTATGCATGCATGCATGTATGTATGTATGCATGTATGCATGCATGGATGTATGTATGCATGTATGCATGCATGGATGTATGCAAGTATGCATGCATGTATGTATGCATGTATGCATGTATGCATGGATGTATGCATGCATGCATGTATGTATGCATGCATGGATGTATGGATGCATGCATGCATGGATGTATGTATGCATGCATGTATGCATGTATGCATGTATGCATGCATGGATGTATGTATGCATGCATGCATGTATGTATGTATGCATGTATGCAATCATGTATGTATTCATGTATGCATGTATGCATGCATGTATGTATGTATGTATGCATGTATGCATGCATGGATGTATGCATGCATGCATGTATGCATGTATGCATGCATGTATGTATTTATGAATGCATGTATGCATGTATGCATGCATGCATGTATATATGCATGCATGCATGTATGCATGTATGCATGCATGGATGCATGTATGCATGCATGCATGTATGCAAGCATGGATGTATGTATGCATGCATGCATGTATGCATGCATGCATGGATGTATGTATGCATGCATGCATGTCTGCATGCATGGATGTATGTATGCATGCATGTATGCATGTATGCATGTATGCGTGTATGTAGGCATGTATGCATGTATGCATGCATGTATGTATGTATGCATGTATGCATGTATGCATGCATGGATGTATGTATGCATGCATGCATGTATGCATGTATGCATGTATGCATGTATGCATGCATGCATGCATACATCCCTCATGTATGCATTCATGCATGGATGTATGTATGCATGCATGTATGCATGTATGCATGCATGCATGTATGCATGTATGCATGCATGGATGTATGCATGCATGTATGTATGTATGTATGTATGCATGTATGCATGCATGGATGTATATATGCATGCATGCATGTATGCATGTATGCATGCATGGATGCATGCATGCATGCATGCATGTATGCATGTATGCATGCATGTATGTATGTATGCATGTATGCATGCATGCATGGATGTATGTATGCATGCATGCATGTATGCATGTATGCATGTATGCATGCATGCATGGATGTATGTATGCATGCATGCATGGATGTATGTATGCATGCATGTATGCATGCATGGATGTATGCATGCATGCATGCATGTATGCATGTATGCATGTATGCATACATGTATGTATGTATGCATGTATGCATGCATGCATGGATGTATGTATGCATGTATGCATGTATGTATGTACATGGCATCATGGTCGGAAAAACCTGTGTACGCCATGTGTACGCCATGTGTACGCCATGTCGGCCATGTCCCACCTGTGTACGCTTCCCCCCACGTCGACGCTCCGTCTTGACCTTTTGGCACCTCGAACACTTGTGGAAAGATGTCAGGATGGTGGTGTCAAGGCGAACAAAGAATAACATAGATGGAAGACATAGAATCAGTGATTGAATCACATAGAAACTGCATAGAACACGATGGAATACAACTTGAACTTGGGCTGATTTCCTTGAGTTTGGTGTGACATGCTGTGACTTGGGCAACTGGCTCACGGAGAAAAAGTGGTCGGGTCTGAGGTGCGCCTCTCATGACCTCATTCCAAAACCGGAATCCTGTGGAAGTCTCTGGAAGTCTCTGGAAGCAACAGTCGCCTTATGTTGCCTTCACGGGTCTTGGCAACAGTTGCTGGTCAGTGCTACTTAGCTGCAACTTCGACTCTTTCAGTCTTTCAGTCTTTCAGTTTCGCCTTGTCCACTTCAACACCAAGACACTCTTGCAGTGGAGTAATGAGAATAATTGGCCTGGCGAATGCCGAATGCCCATGAGTTCACTTGGGCTCAGTGGCACATCACCACGGCCAAGTAGAGGTGTTACAGAGAAACAAGTTGAATCTAGCCAGACTTAGTTGAACGTCAGCAAAAACCTGCTAGATTCACAAATGAATAGACTCTTTGCGCAGGACTTGGTGAACATGATGAACTTCATGTTGTTAACTTCATGATCATTATGTTCCTTTTTTCACACATTTTTCACGGTGCATCGAAGGATATCGAAGATGTCTTTCTCGATCTCCCTGCGTTCCCATCTGCCTCGAAGCCTTGCAAGGCCGCTGGCACCACTGACACGACCTGGGCGTCACCGGACACATTCAGAAAGAAAATGTAAAATGATGTAAAATGTAAACATCTTCGGACCATCGGAACACCAAAATCCAACATAATCCAGCTGTTGTGTACTCTTTCTGATGAACTATACAGTTGTGATTTAATCTGTCGTAAGCCTCTATAGTATATATATATATATATAGTATATATATATATATCTCTCTCTCTCTCTCACTGTGTGCCACTGCCAAAAAATATCTCTCTCTCTCTCACTGTGTGCCACTGCCAAAAAATATCTCTCTCTCTCTCACTGTGTGCCACTGCCAAAAAATATCTCTCTCTCTCTCACTGTGTGCCACTGCCAAAAAATATCTCTCTCTCTCACTGTGTGCCACTGCCAAAAAATATCTCTCTCTCTCACTGTGTGCCACTGCCAAAAAATCTCTCTCTCTCTCTGTGCCACTGCCAAAAAAATCTCTCTCTCTCACTGTGTGCCACTGCCAAAAAATATCTCTCTCTCTCACTGTGTGCCACTGCCAAAAAATATCTCTCTCTCTCACTGTGTGCCACTGCCAAAAAATATATCTCTCTCACTGTGTGCCACTGCCAAAAAATATCTCTCTCTCTCTCTCACTGTGTGCCACTGCCAAAAAATATCTCTCTCTCTGTGCCACTGCCAAAAAAAATATATATATATATCTCTCTCTGTGTGCCACTGCCAAAAAATATCTCTCTCTCTCTGTGTGCCAGCTGCCAAAAAATATCTCTCTCTCTCTGTGCCACTGCCAAAAAATATCTCTCTCTGTGTGCCACTGCCAAAAAATATCTCTCTCTCTGTGCCACTGCCAAAAAATATCTCTCTCTCTGTGTGCCACTGCCAAAAAATCTCTCTCTCTCTCTCTGTGTGTGCCACTGCCAAAAAATATCTCTCTCTCTCTCTGTGTGCCACTTCCAAAAAATATCTCTCTCTCTGTGTGCCACTGCCAAAAAATATATATATATCTCTCTCTGTGCCACTGCCAAAAAATATCTCTCTCCCTCTCTCTCTCTGTGCCACTGCCAAAAAATATCTCTCTCTCTCACTGTGTGCCACTGCCAAAAAATATCTCTCTCTCTCTGTGCCACTGCCAAAAAATATCTCTCTCTCTGTGTGCCACTGCCAAAAAATATCTCTCTCTCTGTGTGCCACTGCCAAAAAATATCTCTCTCTCTCTGTGTTTATCTTTTTGTTTTTGTACTCCGGATTTCTCCGGATGTCATTTCCGCCTTGTCGGAGTTGAACTTCCCCATCTTCCGCCCCTGGCGCCGGCCATGCCGGCCATGCCGGCCATGCAAGGCTTCACTGCGCCCGAGCCTCGTAGGCCGTGCGCATCATCCAGGCATAGCTCGGGCTGATGAAGTTGATGAACCTGAGCATAGTTGAGCAAAAATGATAAAATGATGAAAAAATGATGAAATATTGATGAAATATTGATGAAATATTGATGATAATGAAAAAAGCAGAGCAAATGAGCAAAAAGAAAAAGATGACAAGGATTGAGAAGGTGATGGAAGAAAATTAGTTTGAAAATGGGAACTGGCAAGCAAACAATCACAAATCATCTGTCCATCTGTGGAAATGGCACCCGTCATTTCAACATCTTCTTGGTTTGCTGGTTGCTTGGCTTTCCTTGCTGAAATCCTAGCGTGAAATCCGATGCAAAACTACCGAAATGCGACTCGAAATGCCATGTCCGTCGTGTGGATTTCTTTGGTCGCTTGAGTTCCAAGTGCCGTGATTTCAGGACCCAGCGCATAGCCACGGTTGGCGTTTGTCTCCGGGTCAATCGGAAGATACAAAAAGTCATAGGTTCCAGAAAATCCTGGGGCAAAGGAATCCAAGCGTGCCAATCGAGAGCCAGACTAAAATCACCTTCCTAAAGTTTACATGGTGTTAGTTTCTGTGTTTCTTTTTTCGTTTCTGTGGCCTCTTCCCCATCTTCTCACAGGGTCCGGTGCCAGACGGTGAATCAATGCAAGATGAATCAAGTCACCATGCATCTCGTGCAGGGTCCTGCGCTGTTCAACTCGTCAATCAGCATCTGCTGATTGTATTTGTTGGGCAAATTTCTGGCCTTGTGCAGCACCACTGAAGCACACCACCGAAAGGATTGGGAATGCTCGGAATCTCTCGGAATTGCTCGAAAAATGCTCGAAAAATGCTTAGGGCTGAGCCATCACAGTGGTTGCACCTTGGGGAAACACCAGAAACAGCAGCAGTGCCAAGAACAGAAATACCGTCGGCTGCGTTGACATGCGGGTAGCGTGGGTAGGGTGGGCCCCGGAAAAGCTCAAGAAACAATCAAGCAGAAACAAAATGCTACCGCAAGCAGGAGACAGCTACTGAATGTGTCGAACAAGTCGAACGAGATATACATGCCGCTATACATACGCATATATAGAATTGTATAGAATAGATGTAGAATGGGGTGGAGATATGTGGAAAAAATGATTATGATTGTGACGGTGTAATCATATAATTTTGTATAATAAACACGTGTGAAGGTCTCGAAAGCACTAAGTTGTCTCAAAGCGACTCTGCCAGTTCGAAGGGATCTCAATCTCTGCATTCTGTGGCGAAGTTTGTCGTGAGCTGTGTGGTGAAGCCTGGCACTGGCTCCGGTGGCCAGGACTGTCTGCTGTGTTTGGTGAATTCATAGGTATACTAAGTTGAACTAAATTATACTTTACTGGAATTATCATTTGTTGGCAAACATTGATTGCTTCATGTATGTATGTGCGCTCTGTGTACGTGAAAAATATTGAAAACAAATAATATTATAAATATATATATTTTTATATGTGGTGTGCATGCATGTATGTAATATATAGAAATGTGTGTGTGTATGCATGTATGCACATATAATATCCATATGTTTATAAAGTTTATATTTGTATCTGTATAATATACACGTTATCTTACATTTACTTATTCAAATTATTAATCTATCTGTATTTTTGCTTACTTATGTGTTCAACATACACACTACGCCACTACGCTGTATGTGATGAAAGATATGAAAACCTGTCCGTTCAGGCCTGCATGGATGGCGTCTCGCCCCAAGGAAGTGTGGTGCCACCTGCACCACTTCGGCCACTTCGCGGGAAGGACGCGTCGCTTACTTCGGTTTTGATGAAGTTCAGGTGGAAGTCCTGAAGAACTCGAAATTTGCCCAAAATCTACCAAGGAGTCCTTGCCAGTTGCCATGTGACAACATGGTCCTTGCCCATCTGCAGCACTTCACCTGACGAATTACAGGAGAGAATCGGAGAGAAGGTGAAGATGATGATGAAGCGTATCGACATGGCAAGTCACTGTTTGATCTAAAAAACTGTTCCGGAAACAACAGGTTCATCACGCACAAGAATGCGTATGCCGTGTTCGAAAAGACGGCGATGGAAAGAAGTAAGGAAAGAAGTAAGGACACTGAAAACAGCTGCTCTGACTCAAGAAAGCGCAAGAACGCGCAAGAAAGTGCTCGGAACGGGGAATCAAAATCATCAAATTTATCAAATTTTCATATCGCAGGATGCACAGGATGGAACGGATCCTGCCCGCCTGCTGGCGCCTCTCCTGGAACCAAACTGGTGAGATCTGGTGAGATCTGGTCAGGTGACGTGTTTTTCACAATGATCTTTTCAGCATTGAGAAATTGAGAAACTAGACTGGAAAGTTTAATAACATGTAGTTGGCACACACCACATAGACGGCCGTGTGCCTTTCACCATTTCTCAACATTTTCCAGGGTTTTGGCACGAGGTTGATACTACATCCACGAGGGTCTGTGGGTGGGGTGGGATGGGGCATGTTAACGTTCCTTGTAAGTTGCACACGTTGTTGATGTTCCGCACCTGCCAGGATGTGGGGCAGGGGCTGGGGTGGGGTTGGGCATGTTAACGTTCCTTGTACGTTGCACACGTTGTTGATGTTCCGCAACTGCCAGGATGTGGGGCAGGGGCTGGGGTGGGGTGGGGCATGTTAACGTTCCTTGTACGTTGCACACGTTGTTGCACACTGTTCTTTCTCCAATAGTTTCGGAACTCGTGTTGCAATGGGCTTGGCGACAGCACCAAGGACCCATGTCACCAACTCAGTTCTTCACTGCACTGCAACGTCTCCTGAAACATTGAAAAAATGGGACGAAACGAAGATAAACAGATGTTCCTTGCAAGAAGTGCTGATGAACAAACGTCAGTGCGAGTTGCAAAAAGTGACCGAAACGCCACGGCCGTCTCTGCGGCGTGTACCATGTAGTTATACCAGTTATACCCAAGTTTATTTTAATAACATGTAGTACACACATTGGGCGATGCCCTAAAGTGACTATATAAATTCGTCTCTCAGGGACATCTTTCCGAAGACCCGGAGGCTCCTGGATACTCCTGGTAGGACTGGTAGCCAGCATCGAACATCATCTTCCCAGGCATGAAGGTTTGCATGGCGACTCCGCCACATCCATTCGGGTAGTGCCACAGTATGTTTGAGCCATCGCTATTTATGCTCGGCATGAGATAGTTCGATGACCTCGGAGATCATCGTGAACGCCCCCATCGCTGCCATCAATCCATCGTCATGGCCAACAAGATTACAAGACCCTAACTTTACAATACTTTCATATGGGGGTTAGTACATTTTTTTTAGTTGTTGAGCTAAAACTAAAAATGTCTATATATATTATTCTCATATATATCATATATATAATTAGTTATATATATATATATGCAACTTATAGTTTTATCTCATAATAGATTCATACATGTTCATAATGTGTGCCTTGTTACTCTGCGGTCTTTCGTATTTTGGTGGCTTGGTCCCCGGCATCTCCGGCCCGGCGTTCGAGATGGAATTCCTGGCCACGGAACGCTCCTCTGCACATCGCCAAAGTCGAAACAGGGCGGCGGCACCACTCTGCGGAGTATCCTGAAACCAAAAACGGCATGGATTCTTCACAGGGATGATAAACCACCAAGGCTCACCAAGGCATCTAAAATATCCAAATGCTCACAGCTCAACCAAGCAATGCTTTAAATTCCCTCCTGGCTGACATTCTTTGGCTGGACATGGCAGAAAATCCAGATCGTCGCCCGTCACAACCCGTGGCATCTGCATCATGGGCATCACACCATGCCAAAGGATCACACCAAAGGGTTTGGTGCGAGTCGGTTTGGCAACGCGGCAACTGAAATTTTGATTCAACATCAATCGTTTCAACATCTGAAAGGCTCGAAAGACTGAATAACGAATGACCCAGCTGTGAACTGCTAAGAACTGTTGGGCGTTTTTTGAGTTTTTCCTCAATCTCACAAATATCTCGCATATATCATATCATATATATCATATACCTCATCCATATCTCATCCATATCTCCATATCTCTCCCCTATTTTGGACCTTCTCCGGTGATTCACACCGCGAGCCGGCCTCAGCCGCTCGATCTTTGAAAGTAAGCGAACCGAGAGTCGAAACATAACTTACTGTGTAAAATCCACCGCAAAAACGATCTGTTTAAAGATGGATATAGGCAAGGCCACTCAGCGGTGCACTGACACAGGCCTCAATTTTCAGAAGCATGAAGACCATGAAGAAATATGTATAACACAAATGATGTGATGTAACTAGCACGATTACATATGATTACATGATTGCTGCGTGGTGCTTCTGGAAAACCCAGAGGGAACCGGTTTGGATGAGGATTTCGTCTGAAATGCAGAAATTTGTCGCCATGGCCTTGCTGCCTTGATCTGCCTTGCAACATCTGTTGATTTCCTTCAGTGCTGCCAAGAGACACAATCAGGTGATCCTAGCACAGCAGGAGGAAGGGATGAACCGATATTGAACTAAAAGTTAGTAAAGCGTACAACTCGCTGGACTCAAAGTAGCACGCTGCAGGAAAACCCAGGCAAATGGTCAAGAAAAACATAGGAAAACATAGGAAAACTATGTCGAGGCAAATGTTTTGCAGCTACGTTGTGTTCAGCACCAGCTACCGCTACGTTGAGTCCGGTTCAATCCTCTGAATCCACACCAGGCCAATGGGTTCACAGCAAAGTTGCCGATCGCGAAACAAAAGCGATCAAAAACTGAAAGACCTTGGGGTACCAACAGGACACAGGACGTTAATTTTTTAGATAGAAAGAAACATGAGGGAAACCACGGGATCCCACCTTGAAATCAACTTGTCGAGTCGCTGGTTCTGATTGTTGCCTCACGACAACGTAGCAAAGTGCTCAGTCTCTCTAGGATTCACAAGGCGGCAAGGAATGTTCCCCCTATTTTTAGTCCCCTTCAATTGTCCCAGGCCTTTTGTGAAAAGCGAATTCCAAACCCTCATCCTGGCATGGCACTGGCTCACGGGATGGCAGCCAAGAATGATGAATGCATGATGTTTAAAATATGTTCTATCTCTCAAATTGTTCACGGACCCCGAAACTGACGGACCGGGCCAAATCCAAAAATGTATTTTTCACCTGGCGGGGTAAATTACAACAAGCACCAAGCTGACCAAGCTGGTAAATCCATGTTGAACCCCAACATACACATCCTTGCATCAGGTCCTGCCTGAAAAACCTGCGCCATCACAACAATTTTTGGATTGAAAACCGGCCGCCAACCTGTCGCATTGGTGGTGCACGTCGCTGTTTCGGGATTCAATTTTTGGCACGAAGGAGGAAAGAAGAACAGATCATGAATGCGCATGCGATTTTAATAAATCCAAGTCACTGACTTGATGGTCAGGGTTGCAGAGATGCTACTGTTTGAGCAAACAGGAAGCAAACCATTCACCAAACATGCCGTTCCACAGGCCATGATGCAGGTCGGCACATATGCCTTCAGCATGATCTGATATCATGTGCCATTTTTCCTAAACAAAAGTATCGCTTCCAAAAAAATTATGTTCCATCCCATGAACCAGTCATACTTTGAGTTGGCCCACAGCTATTTGCAGAAACATCCTAACCGCTCAACACGGGTTTAACTCGACCACCATTCAACACTGCGCCTCAAAAAGGTAAAGGGATCAGCCACGCACACAGATCCCGCTCAAAGGCGTTACACAATATCAGGTCAGCCATGAACACAGTCTATTTTGCTTTTCACCAAGCAAGTACACAGACGCAGCACCCTGATGGTTGATGTTAAACCAAGTAAATAAAAAGGTACGACACCTCAAGGGTTTCTTTGATTCATCGAGAAGGTGCACAACTGCAACACCTTAGGTTTCCTACGTCTAACCAACAAGGTACACAGGTATACCGAAGGAAATTTAGAAGTCAAACTTCCGACAATGGAGAGGTGTTTACCGACTGATGGAAAAGGAGAGCTGGCAAGAGTCAGAGAAGAGAAACGCAGACAACACAAACTCAAAGAAGAGGAAGGGTCATAAGAAAGAAAATGCAAGCGCGCGAGAAGGTAAACAAGTCGCGAAACACTGTGTCTTTCCAATGTTTTGTGCCTCGGGAGGGTCAAAAAGTGGGTTTGCTAAAGCGGTGGGTGCGGAACCATCTGGTGAGATGAGGGATCAAAAATTGCACGCCATCGTGGCGCGAACGGATTTGAAAATCACAAAATTAAAACTTCACGCCCAGAACAATTTTGGCAGTGGGGGCGTCGAAAAAGTGAACGCCCTTGAGGCGCGAAACACATCTGGAAGTAAAAACGTTAAAACACCTCAATGCGGGAACGCTTTTGGAAGTTGAAATGCCCAACAAAAAAACACGCCGTTAAAAGCGCTAAAAACACTACATGTTCGGACCGCTTTTGGAAATTAAAGCGCCGTTTTTGCGGCAGCAGGCGTGGCCCAGGTGTTGGAATGCTGGACGAATTCTCAGTCACAACTGTTGGTCTCCCCTCGGGGCCAAGGAACCAACCAGACTGCACATCAACGGCCGTAGTATCGTCTGCAGGTTGTTGTTGATTGGGCTGCTTGGCAGGTGTTGCAGGCGATGCGGGCATGTCCGCAAGCTGCTTCTGGCGTCTTGTTCTTGGCATTGCTGGCACAGGAACTTCAGCTGTTAGAGTTTCAGGTGCTTCAGGTAGAGGTGGTAGTGGAAGAGGCACAATCGCCAGAGGCTGATCACCAATTGCTTGAGGTTGCCCAGCGGGATCCAAGACGATCCGATCTTCCAAAGCCGCAGGTGCGGGTACACGATGGTCATGTGCAGCGGCATGCTTGGCCGTCAAATCCTCCGCTGACCTCAGCATTCAATTCGTAGATCTGCCATTGATGGTGTCCAAAGTTCTTCGCCTTCGACACCATGTAGTTGCTCCCTTGCCACTTGTACCACACGCCCTCGGCGATTTCGCAGCCACACCGACCCAGTGGGAGTCGGGTCAACGGTGATCACAATTTGAGTATGCCACTTTGGCGCCAGCTTCCACAGGACCTCTCCATGGCCTGGACTTCGGAAGCACAGCTTTTCTCGAAGTGTCAGGATGCTCGAACTGCAGGTACTCGGACTGCCTCAATGCCTCTATGGCGCTCACAGTCCTCGATGACCTCCTTGGCCTCTATGGCATCTGGCTCGGAGAGAATGGAGTTTCTGCCATGGGCCCATTGACAACAAGGTGAAGCACCAGAGCGTCTTGCCAGCGAATTCTTTGCGAAGCAAGCCATGTTTGCCAGCATCTGCATTTCATATGCCGTAGTTGCGGCAAACTGGTTCACCATAAGCGCTGCATGATGTGCTGCACAGCTTGTCCATGCGTTCAGCTTTGCCAAGTTGATAATGAGCATCTTGCGGACAAATCGCACCTTGACACCATCTTTGACACCAGCTTGCGCTCCAGCAACCTGAAGCGTCGAACGAAGGCTGTGATGCTCTCGCCCTGGTTTCTGGATCGGATGCGCCCAATGGACTCGTATTCACAAATCACTCCGATTTGTCTGAAAGGTGGACGTTCTCCAAAAGATTCATCCAAGAGCAAGTGGATGCCATCATCCACGTTGTTCCTAGTGTCTGGCACTTCAGACAACCCGAGCTCAGCCTCGCCACGCAGCTGCTCTCGATGCCACAACCAGGCAACGGCCAGTCTTCACTCCAATTTGGAGACTGGCTGACGCTGACGGCGCCGCTGGTTGGCGACATCTCTTCTTCCTCAAGGGAGTGGTGGATGGAAGTTTGGACGGAGACGGCAGCTCTCTACGATCAATGGCGCTAAGGGCACCGGCCGCACCACGCTCAGAGCCATATCTGAGGCTGGAGCAAAGGATCGTCCCGATGCTTCTCAAGTCAATGCCAGAGGCGATCAAGGTGGTCTGAGGAAATGGCGAAAGATGAGAAACCGGGCCATAGAACTTCAGCTGACTTTGCCGGATCTGATCATCTTGACAGGCATCCTCGGGAAGTACACGGACAACCTTGGGAAGCTGGAAACTGGCATATCGGCAGGCGTCAAGAGTTGGCCGTGGATGTAAGGCCTACACTGTTGGCGGTGGAGCAGTATGCTGAGTACCTGCAGTCCGAAGCCAAGGAGATCAACCGTCGAGTTGGTCTCAAGGCCTATGGAGCCAGGACCGCAGGGGCGATCACTCTGAAATCCTTGAACTCGGACGCAGTAGCCCAGCCCAACTTCGCATCCAGTGTGACGTCAAGCGGCTCAGCAACCAAGCCCTGCCTCTTCTGGAAGACTTATCAAGGTGGGGTGCAAAGCTCAGCGCGGCATGGCATGCACCTCTTTGGCAAATATCGGAAAGGCTCCGGGATCCATTCAGGATCACATAGAAATGGCCACAGATGGTGTTGTACCTGATGGATCAGTGGGCATGCGAAAACAGCTGTCTGAATTTGTCACTGGCAAAATTCTTCTTTGATCCATCGGTCTTTCCATCTGTCAACTGTGCTAATGGATTCTGCAGCCAGCGCATGAGATTCAAACGAAGTGTTGCGTTCAACTTCGTGAAACCATCTGCGTAAATGAGGTGTGTCGGTACATGTCGGTACCCAACGTGTCTGCTTAGGCGTGATCACTTCTTGGATGGCTCGAACATTCACCAGGCTTCGCTTATCTGTCAGGTTCGGGTTAGCGTCATACAATGACTTGGAGTCGGTGGCCTGGAGGTTGTCTAGCTTACATCCAACTTTGTGTGTTTCTTCATTATAGAGCACCTCAGAGAGAATCATATTGACAAAGATGGCCCTGTCTGATCCCTCATCTGTGGCTGAGGCTTCAGCGGCTACGGTGCTTCGACAAACTGAAAACTCGAGGTGGTCTTGCCGATCGCCAATCCAGCAACATCACTTTTGCATGCTTGCTGGTGACATCAGGAGTCGTCAATGTGACGAGGATGCCCATCTGCGATGATGAGCGCGCGGCATTTCCCAATGAAGCATCTGTGTAGGTCAGGATGACGGAATTCCATTCACGGGGACATCCTGGACAATGAACCCATACTCATGAGTGTCCTTAGCGAACTGCAGCGTCTCTGCCAAGGTCTTCAGATCATGGATTGCGGTGCTCTGGCCATGGTTGCTCAATGAAATTGCTGGGCATAGGTCGGGACGAGCTTGAGATCCAAGCCATTGCAAGAAGCCAGCAATGCTTCTGAACTCTTTATGTTCTTCAGCTGTCAAGATCGGTGGTTTCTGCATCCGACCCTTTGGGGGAACATAGGGGTCCACAGTCTCAAAAAATTTGTTTACCGCGATCTTCAAAACAAACCTGCCGGACTCATTCTTGGTGCAACACCTGGGTCAAAGTAGCAAAATTCGCCCCTAAATCGTGGAGCCCCTCGGCGTCATAGTCATGTCTATGGATTCCCAGAAAGTCTTCAACGTAGCAAATGACAGCTGACTGGAGATTGTCGTCGCTGTCATACTTGCAAAGCATCATTTTGTCAAAGTCATGTTGTCTGTATCCAATGCCACGGAGTCGGCCTTTGACTTCTTGACACCACAAGTGCGGTGCATTGGGAAGCCCATGAATATTCCTGCAAAGCTGATAGAGATCGGTTTTCCAAAAGGGAATGAGATCGATAAGTGGATCTCGTGGTCGGGCCATGTAAAGAGGAAGTTGCCTCTCTGGATCACGTTGCTGCCCTTGAAGGAAGGCAGTCGCTGCATCGCCAAGCCAACACTTCCATCTCAGTGAATTCCTTCCAAGCTCACCATTAAGGCCAGCCACTGCTAGGGCATACATAAGGTGTTCTGTTGTGCGGCCTGGTGTTGGTGAAGGCTTGGTGACTGCTTCTAAAGGTCTGGATCGCAAAGTCCAAGGGCAACGATGCGACATTTGGGTTTCATTTATCCTTGTCCTCGGTTCTTGTCCCGATAGGCTGCCCTACTCATTAGAATCCTCCGTCGGGGGGTCTGACTTGATCTTAGCGATTTCTTCTTCAGTGAGTGGTTTGATAGGTCCCCGCTCGCTCCAGGAGCTTGCTTCTTTTTCAATGGCGGCCAGGAACTTCTGAATGTGGGCCTTTGGCATCGCCACAATCTCACGCCAGGGAAGTTCCCTGTCGAGTTGTTTGGCCTTTTGTCGTGTGAGGCGTTGTGCTGGGCTGCTTTCTGGATCAGATGGTGCCATCGTATCTGATTCATTGCCATCCTTGCCAGTGTTCTGTACATCTATTGCTCTTTGCTGTGTTGCTGCATATGCTCGGAAATATGCTTGTTGTTGGGGGCCGTAACCAATCTCTGGGGACACATCTGTCCAAGGCGACGTTCACTCTATGTTGCTTGAATCAACATGCACGGTGCACATTGGCTCAAGGAGTCGCTCTTGTGGTTAGTATTACTGGTTCGTCACCTGTCATGTGTGGATCTGCTGCTTCTGCTGTGTGGCAAGGTGCTTGCTACTGCTTCGGCGGTGGGCAAAGTGCCCTGCTGCTGTGTCGGCAAAATGCCTTGCGAAACGGTGAAACTTGTTGTTGTTGATCTGGACCTGTGAAGCCGCTCATTGGAACTGATTGTGGTAATGAAGAAGGTTGTGGTGTTTGTTGTAAAGTAGATTGTCCGGGTGCTGTTGTCTGAAGGTGGTGATGGATGAGGTAGGACACCGGGGCTGAGACTGGTCAGGCGTAGTGGCCTGCGGTCGCTCTGCGGGTGTCGTTGGTGCTTGTTGTAGGAAAGATGGCTCTGGTTGTACTGAACATACTGAACCTGGTGGCATATCTTCGCCAACTTGTTGTTCAAGTGACTGGGCGCCGGCTTCAGGTTGTGAAACATGTTGTTGGCGTGCTGATGAACTTGATGCTACCTTGGCTGCCAATCGACGTGTTGGTGGTAGTGGGGATCGTGAGCGCCCTGGTGGTCGTAATGCTGGTGTGGTTGTGTTGGCTGCCGTAGTGGTGTAAGTTGTCGTGGTGTTGGCGGTGCGCCAAAACGTTGATAGATGTTGGTTTGCTTGTATGTTGAGCTTTGTTGTAGGTTGAGTTGAATGGTCGGGCCCTGGGTATTGGTAGTGGTTGCTTGTGGTGGTAGTGTGGGTGTCGCTGGTGCCAGTGGTGGTAATGCTGGAATTGTGGGTGTCAGCGTTGTGAGACCAAGTCGTTGCTCAATGGTTTCTATGTTGATGATGTCATCGATTGGTTGGTCTGGTGCTGGTGGTCCAACTTTGTCCTCCACTAGGTAGTCATGGAAAGACTTGATGCCGGACTTGGAGGCTTTGATGTTATCTGGGCTTGGGTTCCATTGTTCAGAGCCCATGGCTGTACGTAGCTGTTCTGCTGAAACCAGTGTTGTGGAGGTTCCAGTCTGAATCCAGGCAAGCTTCATTGGTGAGGCAGGATCCCAAGACAGGAATCGTGCTATGATCTATCCGCTGCGTTTCTTCTGGCCCCTTCGCGTTGCCACCTCCAATAGGCACAATTTTGTCCCGGCTGTAGAGTTGGAAACTGAGCCAATCTTGTTTTCCTGAGCAATGCTCGTCGGAGTTGTTGACGTTGAGGTCGATGAGATGCTTCTCGGCCTCGCTGCGGATGATCTCTGCCTTAGCCAGGAGGTTGTCAGAGGAATCAGTGGCTGAGGCATTGTTGGTGATGCCAATGTCGTCATTCAGGACTCCACCCGGTAGTCGTATTTTTTTCCAAAAACTGCTTGATATGCTGTTATCCCTCTGGTGAATGTTGAGGAGTTCACTGCGTGTAGTGCTGGTGGAAGAATGTGCTCTAGCGTCTCCACGTCGTAGACGGCAAATTGGTCAACCAACTTCTCAAGCACGCATCTCGGGATGCTGTTTCGACGTTCCACTATTCCAATCATCCAATGAGACTCTGCTGGAAAAAAGTCACACATGATGCCAAGGTGCCAAGGTGTTCGACCTGAGACTGGAAATCGCCCCGAGAGGTTGTGTCGGGGTCAAGGAACAGCTTGAAGGGAAACCCAAAAGGTCGAAGCCAGCATTGCATCAGGATCTTGCTAGGTCTGAGCTGAGTTGCGGGTCTGGCAAATTGCAGCTTGATGAAACCCCGTTGCTTTGTCCACCCGGCCTAAGATTGGAACAGCCTCTGTTGAGAGGAGCCGCAAGTAGAAAATGCCACCTTGGTTTTCATCGCCAAATTGACCAGCGATGAACTTCGGCATGGTAGTTGGTCGTGGTTGTTGTGGGTTTTTCAACCTGTCACATGTTGAGCATCTCAAATGTTGGATGCATGTTGTGATAGATGACGGTGCTCCCCCATAGTAAGCTACCATGCGGGTCAATTCTTGTGGCGAAGGATGCCTAAGGTTGATGTGTAGTCTTGTGACATGACCAACGTCAATGTTGGAGGGTCTCTTGCTCGATCTCTCAAACGTTGAGCTGATGTGGCCAACAGTGCCGTTCCAGGCTGAAAGATTGGTGGTTGGTTGGGCAATTGCTAAAACATGTTGAAACGCAGAGCGTTGAGGTTCATGCAAATGAACGATCTGTTTCATGTGCTTCAACATCACCGTCACCAGCTGATCGGGGTATTCTTGGCTCGGTCGTGTGAGCTTCCCTGAATTGGTGTACTGTACATGCGTGCTTCTCCTCAGAGCTCAGGCGTTTGTTGATCACCTGGTCGGGATCAGGAATGTTGCTGAGGAAGTTCATTTGTTTTGCCACTCGATGCCCTTAAACTGTTGCACCAAAAGCTCCAATGTCCAATGTAGTCTTCCAAACTGAAGGCATCGCTTCCACCTCAAAGGACGCAAGGCAACTTCCAAAGCTGTGACCGCTCTCGGTTCTCCATCAAGAAGCAACGACCGTTCTTCATCTGGAGGATGGCCAACTCGCAAGCAAGTTCAACCAAAGGCAATTCCTCGGCTTGGAAGTTCTGTAGGAGATCAAGCCGTTGTTGGTAGTTCAGGTTGATGTTGAAAAGGTTCCAAAAATCGACAATCCAAGCACATGATGATAAACCAAGGTGTAAAACGTTTAACTGTTGTGAACTTTGAAGACCCACAAAAAACTCAAAGACGTTAATCGTTGGCCCTGGTCGATCCGCGACCGTGGACAGCGCCTGCTAGACATCGCCCTCCGCCTCATAGGACTTGATGGCCTGCTTCAAATTGTGCTGGAGTCTTCTACATCTTCCCAGTCGTACTGCTCCTCCTCTGCTTAGTATTTATACTCCTTTCACGGTTGGATCTCGCCTTGGCATAGGGACTATAGAAAGCGCTTCACTCTTGGGCGTCCCCTGATCTCTGTTCTTCTTCATTTGGGTGTTGTACCCGTTGCGAGTCAATTCGTACGGGCGATTGACCCACGAGAACTCCCTGCTGATGCTGTCGTAGGAGCAGATCAGGTTCTCGTTCGAGATCCAGTCGGGACTGATGATGGCTTCGTCGGTGCGGAAAAGTCTGCACCCGCTTTGGATCACGAGCTCGGTGTCAAAAGCAAGATAGTACTGCTTGCCGGCTTGCGTCCCTGCGAGCTTTTCCCCCCCAACTGCATCATCCCATGGGTGCGAGGTAATGAAGAAATTGTGTGCCCTCCCCGGCCTTTTCGGCCATCCACCAGGGATGAGGCCGTGCTCGATGATCTTCTCCATCGCGAAGCGGTCACACGAGTGATAAATCACCCTCGGTAACTCCTGCATGAGCTCCGGCACCAAGTCAGGTCTGAGGTTGGCGCGTGGAAGTTTGACTCCGTCGAGGTCCTCCTTCTTGAAGAGAGGGTCCAACGTGAACACCTGTTTGACGAGGCTCGAGATCTTGGCTTTCTCGACCACCGCCCTGTTGTGTCCTTGGACTGCACGGATTGCAACAACCTTCCACGGCAAACCCTTCCAGGTTGCATCAGGCAAGTCAGGCTGAGCCACCTTGACCTGAAATCGTCGGGTGTCATTGTTCCTGACGACTGAAAGGACCTCCCTGATCTTGGGCAATGACACGTAGTGCCCCAGGGTCTTCACCACTGCATTGAACTCCATCACCATGTCATGGGGTCGATGTCGGGAGATGGTGCGCCGTAGCTCAAGGCATGGCCACGAAGAATGTAGGACAACTTGGTGGAGATGAACCTCATTCTGCCCTGTCCACAATAATATTCACGTGGGATTCTTGAGACCATATAATTAAATTCCAGCCAAACAGCCCCCTCCTGCCGCTCTGTGGCCTCCTCAAGCTTCTTGAGAGATCAGCCTCCACACTGAGGCGTGGAGCCTTGGGCCGAGGCGGCCTTGGACTCCGGGGCCTTTTGCTTCTCAGGCTTGGGCATCTTCTTCTCGGCCGGCCTTCCGACTGGCTTGTCGACCTCGATCTTCTTTTCCGTCGGGTCGACAACCTCAGTCTTGTCCTCGGCAGGCTTCTCAGAAGGCCCAGCAGGCTTCTCAGAGGAAGCGCCATCAGAGACAATCGCAATGTTCGGCTCACCCTTCCGGGTGGCTTCACCACCCTCCTTGGCCACGTCAACATCCATAGGAACGACTTCAGCATCACCAACCATGCTCATCAAAGAGATCCTGGATGATGTCATTTCGTCCGGGATGACCTCAGCGTCTCCGACCATGCTCACGGCTGAGATTCCAGATGACTTCATCTTGTCTTCCCCTTCACAGTCAAGTCCGACACCTTCTTGGCAGCCTCAGTCACAACTTCAGCGGCCGTCGTTCCCGATGGCTTGGATCCAGAGGAGGTGATCTCCAAGATCTTGTTGATGTCTTCAACCTCCTTTGCCCTGTCTTCGGGGATGTCGACTCTTCCTTGACCTTTTCGTCGAAGGGAGTGACAATGATGTCATCGTCAGCCACCATGTCCCAGTCATCGGCTTCGGGAATGATCTCGAGGTCATCGTCAGTGTCGCCGGCCACCTCAGGTTCAAGCTCGATGGACTTGTCCGTGACAACAGAGAAGCCATCAGCAATCGCCTGGTTGAGGTCCTCCTGAAGGTAGATCCGGGCACGCTGTTCCCCAGTGTCGGCATCCTCCAAAGCGCGGTCGACAGGAACAATCGACGACATCTCCTCGTTGGTGAAGTCCGTTGGTTTCGGCCGATCCTCCCGGGTGGCTTCGTCGTTTGCCTCAAGAATCCCTGCATGCACCCACATGAGAATCTCTTCATCAGCCTGGTCGAAGACTTGTGCAGGAGCTGCCGTCTTCTGCTCAGGTGTGAGGGCTTGCATG